CATCATCACAAGATGCACAGATGCAAATTCATTGGTGCACACTGAATGGTTGCTTAGTTTCACTATATTTATCAAAACCCTCACAGAATAGTTCTTATGTCAGATATGAAATAACAATATATAATAAAGAAGTAAAGATCTATGCAAACATTTATTTATATATAATAAAAGAGCAAGTACAGATCCCTTAGCTTACTCTTAACAAATATTAGCCATGTATATTCTTCCTCACTGCAGAAACATAACATAGCTCAAGAAAAATTAACTGAGCTAATCCTGCACTATGTACTAAAAGAAATTTCTCATTGAATTCATCAGTAATTTTGCCTATGAAAATACCCAGAATATTCACATTGTAGTAGAGAGAGGAGTTTTTGCAATATTTAAGCGCTATTGTATTTCTGCATGAAAAGCCATCTCTTTCATAACTCAGTGTTACATGCGCAACTGCTATGTAAGTTATGAATTATGGCTTCAACCTATTGCTATTAATTCCACTTGAGAGATCACAGTGTTATGATCAGCTAGCTTTTTTATTATTATTATCTAAAGAATTGTAGTCAGTGTATGATTTTGGCAGAAATGTGCCATCAGAGACAAGCTGGTATATCAAATGTACTCCTGGGGCAGAATTAAATTTCTTCCTTGAAAGTGAAAGAAATATTGTGTGTCTTAACTTAGTACATGACTGGAGAAATGTAAAGAAAGCATTTTCTCAATGTCTGGGGCATATCTCTATTACTTGGCAGACAATAAACTGAACATGCGCATTGAGACCTAACAGGAGATTACTGACAATCAATAAAAGAAAAATAGTTAAAATTAGCTTTTTGCTAAATTTTATCACAGTGTTTACTTTCTAAAATCTTTAGACTTTAGAAAAATCACATTCTCTCATGCTAATCAAAGATCAAATGCTCTGTCCTTTTAAAACAGTATACAGTAGTTAAATACTGAAAATAAACATAATGTTCTATGTCAGTGAACAACCTAAATAAACTGTTCATCATTCATAACATCTATACCTATGCAAGGGAGAGCATCAGGGATAAAACATAAAAGAAAAACTCCATCGTTCTCTAAATCAGGATTAAGGATATACAAGGATATTTCCGAAGAGGTAGAGAATTAATCCACATATACAAAATATAGAATTTTGTCACGCTTTAATATTTATTATTTGGGAAAATTAAAAATAATTTTACTCAGGGTATATTTGTACACTTACATATAATATCTGAATTTGGAAATTACCAACATCAGAATGCAGTTTTGTTAGCTATTAAGAGGTAAGAATAACTGAAGTAATTTTTCAACTCTCAACCACTCAACACAGTACTTGCTAAACAAAGATGTGTGGGGTTTTCCCCCCAAGCACCAGGAAATTCTTCAGGAGGCACCAACAGAGCGCCCACTGATTCAAGTAAATTCTGACCCTCCATACCTGGGGTTAGTGTCAGATCCCACAGGTAAAGGGCTCACTCTTGCAACTGCCCCCACCAAATGCAGACCACAAGTTCAAAATTATGACCTGTGCTTCTGACTGACAAGCTATAAATTGAGATTCCAACAATCCGCAACTCGGATTTGTTTAGAGCATCCCTCAGAATTCAGGAAAATATTTTACTTATGTTTATTGATTTGTGACAAAAGGTACTATAAAGAATACAGATGAGTAACCAGATGGAAGATATGCATGGGGCAAAGCATGAAGAAGGTGTGCAGAGCTTCTGTGCCCTCTCTGGACATGTCACCCTGCAGAAATCTCCATGAGTTTGCAGTTAAGACGTTCTCTAAGCAGAGTGCCTTTGAAATTTCATGGAAGCTTCACTACATATGCGTGGTTCACTAAGTCACTGGCAAGTAGTGATCAACTCCACCTTTACCCCTTTCCCCTTTCCTGTCATCTAAAAGTGGATCTGAAAGTCAGTCACTTAATCACCATAGTCCTTCTCATGACCAACCTCAATCTCTAAGCTTTTTAATATCCCTTAACCACCAGCCATTGTATGTCTCTACAAAAGACAAGTATATTGCTGCTGGGGTTCCAACATTATTTTTTATTTTTTTATTTTCTTGAAAGTATAACTTTATTATCATTCACTAAACACACGTATATACAAAAATTAAAATTATTCAAAGAAAAAGAATGCAAGGGAAAAAAACTGTAATAATATTCAAATATAATAGAACTCAACCAAAGCAAAACTGAAAAGCACTTAAACATTTTCCATATAATTAAAAAAAAAAATCTCAATCTTTAACAAGACATCAAAGGACGTGATTTGTTTTAGAAAGATTTTCAAAACTAATATTGAACAAATAATGGTCTAGAAAAAATATCTAATTCGCTAGTAGACTCCACATAGGCCAAATTTTTAAAATTTAAATTTCAATACAGTCATGTGACACTTGATGGAAATATAATCTGACAAATATGTTATTAGGCAATTTCACCCGTGTGTATCATAAAGTACCACACAGAGTGCCATCTTCTAAGTGCAAACTGAAAAGGTACACATCAATCATCTGTGATGGCTCCTTGATATTATCCAAATACACAGTTAAACACAAGATACATGAGGCTACCACTGGCATAGCACCACACTGTTTTACAGTAAACTCTTTTATATAAGTAGGATTATGCTCTAAAGGATGAAAAGCACAGCATGTTAAGATAAGTACCTAAAACAGTAACAGTCATTTATCACACTATGAAGTACTGTGTACTGTACACAGTTGTATGTGCTTCTTCTGGAAACACACCCTTCTCTCCTTTGATCTCAATGACTCTTCCTTCCCAACCCACTGATGAGCTCCAGCCTAGTCTCTATCTACATATCTTCCTATAGTTTTAAACACAATCTATATATAGATTCTTTTCAGATTCCAGCCTGAAACTCTGATCTCTCCCCTTCCCCTCCCACTTCCCCTACCCCTTTGAACCTTTTCTTCTGATTTCAAATTAGCAATTATTCATTTTAATCATTCTAATCCTTAATTACACATTCAGTTTCTCACACTAGAGAAACAATTCGGTATTTACACGTGTGTCTATTTATTGAGTACGGCCTCAATATGTATCCATTTAGCTATAAATGTCTCTAGTTCCTCATTCCTTATGGCTGAGTAGTACTCCATTTTATAAAAAAACACATCTTCTTTATCCATTTTCCAGGTGATGAGCACTTGGGGTGTTTCCAAGCTTGAGCTATTACAAACTGTGCCGCTATAAACATGGGTTCCGACTTTTTTGAAACTGTGTTCCAGGAACCTAGAATGGAGATTTTAAAAAACCATTGCATCAGTTTGGCGAAATGATGGGATGCTATTATGTGGATTATTACAAAGATATTAATAGGAATCATAACCTTCTCCTAATTGTTTTCCCTACTGTCACAGTGAATTTTTCCTTCCTTCATAATCATATTTTGATCAGGTGATCTGAACAGTTATCATTGAAGCATTTTTTTACCAGGAAAAAAGACCAGTGCAATTTAAATAATACTTTGTGTTGTATGATTTAAGTCTTCAGGCTGCGGAGATCACTTTTATTAAAAAAATTGAGTTTGAAAGTTTCCACTTTGATAAAATTAGAAAACTTACCTGGACACTTTTCCATACAATACATGAGCGCAGTGGTGGAGGCAACAGATGGGACCTGAGCTTGATCTCCAGATCGGGCTTGGATACAAGAAGAATTTTTAGGAGAGGTGCTATTTGGCCCTTTAAGGCTAAATTGAAATGGGCATAAATAAAGAAAAATAGAAAAGTGGGAATGATAGATTATGTGAACAATATAGGAAAAATAATGTCACCAAAAAAGAAAAGATATTCCTGTTAAGAAAACTGTTGAAACGCCTGTGTAGGGTGGAGATTACTCTGAGACATATCATAGTTGAAAAGTTCACAGAATCATGATGTTTCTTCTGTTTCATATTTTGGTTTTAAACTTTGTTCTTAGTTCTGGAGTTTCTATAAGAGAAATTAAGCAATGAAATGGTAGGAATAGAATTTTGTTTTAAAAGGCCATCCAAAGCATGTATTGGGCACTGAATGGGTTAGCAATGCTGACAATTGATCAGGATTCAGCCAAGGTAATCTGATTAAATTCTGATGTGAACCCTTTTTTTCTTTGTGGTCTGTAAGTATTCAATCATGTGGCCAAATAGAGAAGCCTCTGGAGATAACACTATGATGAAGATTGAGTTTTCCACACATCCAGACTTTATTTATTACTTTGTAATGCATTTCATGAATTAATCACATTCCTGGTTTCTTACTTTCTTATTGTTTACTGTTTGTCACAATTTATTTCTCCTATTTTAGTTTACTTATCTTACCCATTTTTATTTTGCTTTGGCCTGCGTACTTATAAGCTTCTATAACTCCTTTTCTTAAACAACATGGAAAATACATTTTTCCTTTGTCAAAAACAAAGCAAAACAACCCCTTATTTATTAACTTTCTGTGATCCTTTAAATCCAAAATTTACATAAGTTAAGGTCATTATTTTCTCTTTAGAATGTAACAGAAGTTAAGAACAGAAAACAAAATTAGTCCTAATTTTTTTTCATTTTTACAATCATAGAACATATTATATATTCCTTTAAATTTTAAACTCTGTCTTCAGAAAGAGTGATGGAAATTTGCTCAAGAAAATAACTTCAGAAACAGTAATAAGCAGTCAAAATTACTTTTTCATCATTACTGAAATTTTTATCACATTACTATTTATTTTCATATTCTTTTCAAAACATTATAAAAGCATTGAAAATCCCATCTGCTCCTGAAAGATAAAACCAATGTGTGATTCTTTTGCCAATTTCTTTCTCCATTTTACATTAATTATGCATATTTTGTATGCTGAAATTGACATGGCTGTGATTAACCTGACATTGACCTCTTTTGTATAGTCTTTGGATTTATTAAACTTTTTTGTTTTCATGTGCCTTGTGTGAAAGAGAATAGAATGAGTTACAAAAATGCATCTGTTTCAGAGCCAGCAGCTAAAATGTACAACAAACTTCAATGAAGAACTCTGTATCATAAATTCCAAAAATTCTGTGGCCAACCAGCAGCAGTGTTCTACAATGGCAGGCGTGGAGATCCGTCTCAAGTTACTGAATAACAGAAAATTTCCCTTTACATCCAACTATATGTGTTGAAATGAAAAATTATATTCCAAGAAATATATTGTCCTTGAGCAATGCAAAATTAATTTTAATGAATAATATAAAATCTGAATGACATGATTGATTCATACATTAACTATGAATGCCAATTAATTTTAAAGCAAAATGACAGGAAAATAAAAAAATATGGCTCCAAGTTTGGTTTTGCAGCCATTTTATCTTCATATGACATTCACGTTTTGTAAAAAATGTCAACTTTTAATCTTTAAAATTTTACATGTTGTGTATTATGTGTGTATAGAAACACAAGGTAAAAACTGGACACAATAGCTATACCACAGTGTTTAGTACAAAATATTTCAAGAACACCTTTTACACAAGCTTTTTATAACAACTCATACAAAACTATCCTTTAAATTAGAAAACCTATTGTTTGGTCCAATTGAATTAAATCATGGAACTTCCATTTCCTCATTTGAATATATAATAAAATGTTTTAAATAATAGCTTAAAGTCTTCCATTTCATTTTGTAGTTTATGGGAATGGATTAATATGGATTGTACACAATAGATAGTTTGTGTAGCAAAGCACAATGACCTTAGCGTCATGAACACTAGTATGAAGCCTTGTTTGATCAGTATTACTGAGCCATCTTTGAAAATTAGCTTAATCTCTCTAAGCTTCATTCTCTTCACCTGTGTGAAAGCATAATGATATCTAATCAATAGAGTTGCTGGAAAGATTAAATAATGTGTATATAATAGGTAACTATAGCAAAATACAATAAATGGCTGCTGTTATCAATAATAATGTCATCATCATTATCCTTGTTGTAAACTTTCTGAAATGACCATCTTCTAAGAACTTCTCTTTTCTTAAGTTTAGTTACGTACTATGGAGTCAAAGTAAGAAGTAACAAAATTAAATACTATACAAATAATATCATAGTATGCCTTGTAAGTCAATGTAGCTATAAATTTTGTCTACACACTTTAGCTGGAGAAGTGCCATTACAGTATTGTCAGTTAAAAGAAGTCAATTCTGTTTTCTGACTTTTTAAAAACTCCAAGGACTATGATGAAGTCTAATCACTCTCGTAGATAAAACATTTTCAGGGTAATGTATTTCAATTGCTATAGAAACTTTGTCTTGATATTATCAACTATGCCTGAAATGAACTCTTCTACTTGCCTTCAAATATTTTCCTTCTTCATATTCAGATATATACTATACTATATAATATATATTCATTTGTACTATACATATTTATATTTATATATCAGTAAATATGTATATGTAAAGCAAGATATATAGATATATATATATATACACATACATCTATATTCATAGATATATGTGTAGCAAGATGCACATGGAAAGAACATTCAAAACACCCCAAGAGAATTAGGCTGGTATTCAGGCACTTAATTATGAAATGAAATTTTTTTCCTTACCTTCCCTATTAAATGAGCCTCTGTTCAAATACAAACAAAAAAAATACCCAAATGGAAACAAATGAATAAAAAGTTTTGTAAATAGCAATATTTGACAGATATAAGCAAATTGATGAGTGTAAGCAGTTTTCACATTTAGGAATTAAATCTATTTGCAATTACAAATACAAACTTGTCTCTTCCTCAAGTATTATTTTGAGCTCTACACAATTATAAAGGAAATTCAAAAGTTTAATGAAATAGATGTGTGTGCAATTTTAAGATTGATTTCACCAATTAAGGAAGCAAACAAAAATAATAACAAAACTCTTTCCCTACTCTATCTCTATAGCCAAATACTTATGAAGTTGGAGAAAAGTGTTACATTTGGTGGGAATATAGTCTGTGATGTTTTATAATGAAAGATCTGGATTGCTAGTTATTGTAGCCTTTCCTTTTCCCATCATAAAACTAGGCAATTAAAATTAGTGCAGAATCATGCTGAAGTTTTACCAATCCCTGCACTCCATCTGTGGAGGTAGATGAAAGAACTTTAGAGTGGAAGAGTTATCCGCTGCTCCAGTGAGAAGGGTAGAGCTGAAGAAGGAAGGCAAATGGAGTCAGATCACTGAAATTGCATTTTTGCTCTGTCATTGGCTAGATGGATGAGCATAGTCTTCTCAATTTTTCTGCCTCTTCTTTCTTACTAGTAAAATAGAGAAAAAGTAGTACTTAAATCATGGAGTTATGACAGGTTTGATGAAGTTATCACATGTAGATTTTTAGAATATAATCTGTATTAACAATGCATTGAGGGTTCTTTTGCTCAATCTTGACTAACTAGGAAATAGTAGAAATAGCTTTATTAAGATTTGAACTGCAGTACATGGGGAAATAACCCATGACCAATTACAGGTATGAAGATATTTCCTTTACAAAAACAAAGGCACGCTAAAGCATGTGGAGTATCAGATTTTCTATTTAGTCATGGGTAGAGGAAGAACTCCTCTTAGACTTGATTGAGGATGGCTGACAAGAGGAGAAAGGCTGATGCTTAAAGTCACCTGGGATGGATCAGTGACTGACTGAAGGTTGCTGCAGCCAAAGCAAAGGTTTTCCAACGTGGCTGTGGGGCATCTGATGCAGCCATGGCCAGCTGTGAAGCATTTTGGTTAATCTATGAGGGGAAACGTGAAAAAATAAAAATTCTTTTTTTGGAAAGCATCGGGTTCTTCTCTCTTCTCACTTGGCCCATAGTAAGCGTTTAGTAAATTTTAACTGTTTTTTATAGTTGAGTATATTGTACAAAAATATCTGATCCTGTGGAATACAACTGAAGACTCCAAAGCTAGCCTCTCACCTGGACAATTCCCAACCCAGGAAGGACAGCAATTTCAGGAGCCACGCTGGTCCTGACTGTCACAGGTATTCATTTACTTATCTATGACCGAGGACAGAGAAAAATGTGCTAGCTAGCTAGCTGTGTTAAAACCATGGGATCATGTCAGTCTGCTAATTTAACTAGCTATGGGATAAGAAAGCATAGCTTGTGCATCTTTAAATGTTAGAGAACAGCAAGGGTTCAATTTTACTACTTAAAAGTTACCTACCAGTGAATAGACACATGGAAAAAATTCAGTCAAAATACAACATTTATATAATGTTTGTTATTCCATGCCTATTTATATTTTCTTTTAGTACATGAGTTTGTGAAAATTAATATTCATTTCACTACATTATACAGGAAACATATTTGTAACATTGCAATTAGGTCCATGATGCTCTTTCTTAAAAGGCACATGTTTCCCTCTCTTCTAAGAGTAAATAAAGTCTGAGAACTAATGCCAGTAAGTATTGTTAAAAGATTCCTTTCCCGTTTTCAGGTAAATTGTAATAAAATAAAGAAAGAAGGAAATGATGAAGTGGAGTTTTTCTTGGACACAATAAGTTGACATTAAAATGGCCCACACATCAAAATGAAAATACAAAAAAGACAGATAAACACCTGAGATTTAAGTTTTAAAAAAAGGAGTTTCAAATTTGTTCTATTCCACCAGTGTTGCTGGTTGAAAATTCTCCAAGTAAATGTAAGCTTTCGTTTTTTCAAAATTTAAACATCCAGTAGAGAAAACAAGGGCCAAGTGCTCCGATATTCCTGGGAGATGGAGAAAAACTCACTTCTAAAAGCATATATTCATGCCACCCTTTAGGCTGAGGGAAGATTATCATTTCACTAATTGTCTGCCTTTTATTGAAGAACTAGTTTATGCAAATACTAAATAGTGAACCTGTGCTGAAGACTGAAAGGTAGAATATTTTTAGAGTCAGAGACTGCATGTTTTGCTTTGAAATAGCATGAGTTTATCAGGAATAAGCTGACAAGGAGATTACAAATGATTCTTGACTTTTATGATGAGATTTTTTTCTTTATTTATGTTTATTTACCTTATTCTCCACCTCTCTCATTTACAACCCTATTCCTTGGGTTCCTTCAAAAAATTATTTCTGTCCATCTGCTGTTTTATTTTGCTGTACTTTAAAAATTCAATAAGATTTTTTCTTTCCCTCTTTTCCTTTCCCTTCCCCTCCCTTCACTCCTTCATCTTTGGACTTTTTTTCCTATTTCTAATTATCTATTATTCATTTTAATCATTTTACTCTTGTTTACACTATCAGTTTCTCACACTAGTGAAACTATTCGGTATTTACACGTGTGTCCTATTTATTTCACTTAAGAGTATGGCCTCGAGAAAAGAAAAAAAATGGAAATGAAATCTATGTAAATAGGGAAAGGTGGAGGGGGTAAAATGTGCACAGGTAATGGGGAGAAAAATAAGAACCAAGATATATCATGTACAGGTACAAACACCCAATGATAAATGTAAATGAATTGTATACCTAAAGTGCACCAATAAAATGTACAAATAAAATTAATTTTAAAAAATTCAATAAGAGATTAAAACTTAACAACTGCTGAAAAAAGTTGGAGAACTAATATTAGAGAGAGGAATAGTATGAGTGACTATTAGACCTAAGCCAAAATGGGAGATTTAATTTTGCAAAGCATTTCCAATTATTTTTACAAAAGCTGGACATATTTCCAGTATGTAGTGAGGAGAAAAGCTTTGCACATAAAATGATTCATCTGGGAAATTTCATACCTGGTTCTTCTATCAAAAATAATATGTAGTTCATAATTTTGATGGACTTTCTGTAGTTTTTCTTTAACTATAATTCATGCTTTTTAATGTTACAAGTTTTAGATCCTAATGGTACTCTTGGCTAAATGAATTTATATGTTTGAATCATTGAAAATCACATCAGTAAATCCTGTAAACTCTATTGTAACTTGTGAAGCCAAGATTATGAGTCTATTGAAGTTATAGCTGGCATAGCTGCACTACTGTCAGCAAAAACTCAAAGGTTGAATCCATGATATATGCTCAAAGTCATAGTTGAACTTCTGATTCTGGTTATCTGAATAGGATGATAATGCTATAAATGACTCATCTCTTCTCTGCTACTGTACTTGTGTATGAGTTTAGGGAACAGTTCCCCTTATCCATGGTTTGAGAAATTTCAGTTCTGAAAGATATTCTGAAGGTATGCATTTATAAATGTGCATAAATCTCTATGCTTTAAAAGTCACAGAGAAAATAATCATTTTAATGTGTTGGTTTCCAAAATTCAGTAGTGTGAGAACCCATGAATTTATTTAAAACATGAAGTGCCATGTTGTATATTACAGGTCTGGTAACTCAGCTTTTTATTTATTCAGTCACTTTAACACTTCAGAGAATTTTACAGTAGGTTGTACTTGTAGTTACTCCATTAAA